GCAGAAAATTGAGCAAGCAGATGCCGTGCGTGGTTTTATAAAATGCATTGAAAATAAAATCCAAAACAAACAGTCAGCCGTGATTGCAGAAATTAAAAAGGCTTCACCAAGCAAAGGTATTCTGCGTGAGGATTTTAATCCGGCAGAAATTGCTAAAAATTATGCTGATAATGGCGCTGCTTGCTTATCGATTCTTACCGATAAAGATTACTTTCAAGGAAGCGAAGAATATTTGAAGCAAGGAAGAGCAGCTTGCGGCTTACCTGTTATTCGTAAAGACTTTATTATTGATCCTTACCAAGTATATGAGGCGCGAGCCATAGAAGCAGACTGTATCTTACTTATTGTTGCCGCACTGAATGACGAAGATTTACAGGCACTGTTTAATCTTGCAAAAGAGTTAGGCATGGATGTACTTATGGAAGTGCACGACGAAGCAGAGATGGAGCGTGCTTTGAAAACGAATGCGCGATTAATTGGTGTGAACAACCGTAATCTTCGCACCTTTGATACCAGCCTCGACACAACCATACGTATGCTTGATATGGTGAATGAAAATCATATTTTAGTTACTGAATCGGGTATTCATACAAAAGAAGATGTGCAGCTAATGCGTGATAATAACGTGCATAGTTTTTTGGTTGGTGAAGCGTTTATGCGGGCTGAAAGTCCAGGTGAGAAACTGGCGGAATTGTTTTTTAGCTAAGTTTAGCGTGTGCCGAAAACAACCACTGTTTTACCATGTGCGCTTATTAAATCTTCATCTTCAAGCTCTTTTAAGACACGACCTGCCATTTCACGAGAGCAACCGACCATTTTTGCTAAATCTTGGCGAGTGATTTTTATTTGCATGCCTTCAGGGTGTGTCATTGCATCAGGCTCTGCACTTAATTCGAGTAAACAGTGGGCTATTCTGCCTTTAACATCCAAGAAAATTAAATCACGAACTTTCTGACTGGTTTTCTTTAAACGGTTAAAAATCTGTCCGGTTAATAAAAACATGACGGCGGGGTCTTCAGTAACTACCTGTTTGAATTGAGCATAACTAATTTCGGCGATTACT